TACTTAGCAACAGAAGGGCGCCCTGTACGTTGGGCACGAAGTATAGGAAACTTGAATGGTTAAAAAGAAGGGCGCCGCCTACGTTGGGCACGACTTCCGCCTCATTTTTACAATGCGAGAACTCTATCTTGTATTTCTAGTATCTTTGCTAAAAGTTAGCGGTATCCGGATACGCTAACGGTTAGCAAGTGCTATCGGTTAGCAAGTTGAGGGCGTTTCTATCATCAACCAATCACACGTACGCGTTTACAATTTCCAGTTTCTTATTGGCCAGTGATTCGATCATCATATTGTTGGTATCCGGATCGGGATTTTCTCGCATGGACGCACGGCAGCTAACGGTTAGCAGGATCCGGATCCTGCTAACCGTTAGCTGCCGTGTGAGAACATAGCCACAATGTTGTCATGGCGAGATAGATTATCTTGACAAGTCGACATAGTAAAAATTGTATGTTGTCATGGCGAGATAGATTATCTTGACAAGTCGACATAGTAAAAATTGTATGCTGTCATGGCGAAATAGATTATCTTGACAAGTCGACATAGTAAAAATTGTATGTTGTCATGGCGAGATAGCTTACATAATAATAACAACCTATCTCGCCATGACAACATACAATATGTATTATGTCGACTTGTCAGTATAATCTATCTCGCCATGACAACATACAATTTTTACTATGACGACTTGTCAAGATAATCTATCTCGCCATGTCGACATGATATGTATATTATGTCGACTTGACAACATAAATTATCTTGACAAGTCGTCAAGTCGAATGGCACTTAGGTGCTTCCGTACTATACATTTTGCGTTATAAATAACAAATTTATACTACCATAAAAAAAGGAAAAAGTAGTTATAATTCATTAGAGGCCCGTTCTTCTTTAGTGTTCTGCCGCCAGGCAGGTCCTTGACCGCCAACTCCTCCACTGGCATCTGTCCTCCTCACTCTTCTCTTCATTTCCACACCGGGTCTCTTATCCTTTAAATCGTCTATCACAGTCCCTCTATAACTTCCTTCAACATACTCTCTCCCTTAAAATGACCAATCCAACCCTTCTATCTTATAATAACTGACATTAATGCCCTCTTATCTTTTATACAGTATTGTTCAGTACCTCTTCATATCTATCATTATCTATTAATGATTTTACGATGGTGTTTGGGGAGGGGATTTTCCCATAGCGGCGATTACTTTTGTTTTCTTGCTCAACGCAATTTATTCTTGTTTCATCAATATTAAATTAAATTAATTTCAACTTATATTAAAATCCATACGCACACAGTCCAGACTAGAGACAGACCTATCCAAAACGAAAGCAATAGGCCTACCGACGTACTCCGTCTTCTAGTTGTACAGTGTACTGTGGGTAGGGAATTTAATAGCACAATTTTGCCCATTAACATATTTTTCATTCAAGAAAACTGTGGGGTTTTTACAATAAAGAAAAAAAAGTTAAAATATCAATCTTAAATTATTTAAAAATATAATGAATGGATAGTGAATAAACGTGGGAAAATAATTGCCCTGTCTGTACCCAATATCCCATCCGGAGAGCCTGCATCATGGATAGCATGCAGAGATGGGTGCAGGTCAACTCGGCCACAAGTCAACTCGGCCACAGTCAACTCGGCCACAAGTCAACTCGGCCACAAATCAACTCGGCCACAAAAAGTTCGGCTACAACCAACTCGGCCACAAGTCAACTCGACCACAAATCAACTCGACCACAAGTCAACTCGGCCACAAGTCAACTCGGCCACAAGTCAACTCAATGTAATGTAATGTTAATGTAAATCTCAGTTTTTGCATCATTTTTCTTCAATATATGATTGAAATAAAGTACGAGTATATTTTAGTAAAACAGGACCACCACACTACCAAAAGAGATTTGAATGCTATTGCCTATGAATTAAAACGAGTTATTTATTAATGTGTTTGTCTTCTGTTTACTCACAACATTCTAATTCAGCAATAATATTAAACAACAATAACGAAAATAAATTAGTAACATTTACTTTAATAATACTAATTAGTCATTATGACGATAATAAAGGTGATAACAAAAACAACACAACAACATTAATAGTAATATTTATTTTAACAATACTAATAATATTAGTATGGTAATAATAAAGATATTTAAATATCAATTTTAATAACTAATTAGTGATAATAACGATATTGAAGGTGAT